ATTTAAATAAGATAATAATAATTCTTTTTAATAAATTATTTTTAAATTATTTGTACGTAGTTTAATGTTTTTTTGTGTTATTATCCAAGTTAACATTAACTTTGAATATCAATTCTTTTTTATTATTAACGTAGGTACATATTACATATTATTTTTTAAAATAATGTGATCGTAGAAAAAATCTTGTGTGCATTTTGAGTGAAAAGTAAGTAAAAAGTAGCAAGCGGCAAAGTATTACTTTTCACTTTTTATATACAAATAGCTATTTATCATTCTTTCTTACCCAATAATTCGTTTTCGCTTTTAGTATTTTCGAGTATACCATGAATTTCGGTGGTGCCAACACAGTCGCTTAAGTTCATTTTATGTGATTGAACTGCTTCATCGTCTCTAATAGAATCATTATCGTTTTGAGTGTTGTCAAGTGTTTTTAGATTCGCAAAAATGCGATTTGTCCGAGAGTTGTATGACATAATTTTTGATTTTGAGTTCTAATAACATAAAGGACTAATTAAAATTAATTAAATAAAAATTATTTAAAAACAAGTTATAATATAAATATAACAAAATTATTTTGGAGAATAGAGTTACATCACGAACAAAATAATACGAGAAACAACTTATTGAATGAATTTATAAAATACATTATTTTAAATACAGTTACAAATAAAAATATCACTTTATTTTAAAACACACACAACAATTTTCATTTAAACCATTTAAGAAAAAAGGTTATATTTCGACTTATAACTGTATTGATTAAAAATAAATCCTTAAAAATTAACTTACCTATAAAGAAAGAAAGTTTTATCGCGAAATAACACTCTTATAAAAAAATATTACTTTTTTTGAGGTAATATGATAAAATGTAACCTTATTCATAAAAACTGGCGAACTTCACTACTATAACGTGAGTTACAAACTGAAATATAATTGTTTCATTTCTACTTGAACCGACTTGAACAATTGCAGAAAGCCAGACAGTTACATCTGCCATCTCTCAGCAAACGGCCGAACTACATAATGTAATCTTTTACCAGATAAAAGTAGACTTATTTTTTAAATTATTACCGCAATAAAATTAAAAATTGAAAATTTTGAGATGTAACCTTCTTCCAAATGAACGATATATCTATAGTACTCTTCCCATTCTGCCTGGTAAATAAATGGGTAATTTAAATTCGCAATAGTTTACTTCAGAGGACGCCGTGAATAGTTGGATTTTTCGAATTTTTTGTGCCAAAACCGGTAACTACAATTTTTTTATATATATAACATAGATGTAATTTTTAAATATTTAGATAACTCAACAAATCGACTTATTCACTTGATCATATTTAACATGCATAAAAGGTATATCCACTTGTCTAATATTCAAGAGTGTTAATATTTGTGTGAAATAATGTAACTCAACTTGACTATCCGTGTACATAATATTCAGTCGGTGAACAACCAGGTATCTCGAAATACTCGCTTAAACACGTTGAAGTTTGAATCTTGCATTCAAGAAACCTAAACAGGATACTTGTTTTAAGTGTGATATTTTCCAAACAAAAATAATGGTCGCTGAGGGCGAGGAAAAAGATAATTTGACACAAGAGAGGGATAAACACCATCAGCTCGCAGAAAATGCATACAAGGCAAAACAGAATGATAAGGAGATTGCAGCTTCAGATAATAAAAAAAGCATATACATTTGATCTTCAACAGTGTCTTTCTACACCCTTTTTAACAGCAAACATTGTCTTTTATAAACGTCAACTATGGACGTTCAAACTTACACATGTTTCATGTGGGACGAATCAACTGCTGCAAGAGGTGGCAATCAGATAACCTCTTGTATTTACCGCTTTTTATTGGAATTCCGTGATGTGGAAGAGGCAACTTTCTACTCGGACACTTGCGCAGGGCAAAACAAAAACCAGCAAGTCGCTTTTATGTTTAGCTTTGTTTTATCAAAATGCCCCAATATTAAAATTATAAATCACAAGTTTTTAGTCAGTGGTCACACTCACATGGAGTGTGATACCAATCATGCCCTCATAGAGAAAGAAAAAAAAAGAGAACTCATATGAAGATTAATCACCCTAACGACTGGTATCAGATTGTAAGATCCTGCAGGAGAAAAAAACCATTCAAAGTAATAGTAATAAAACAAGAGAATTTCTTGGACTTCAGCAGTCTAGGAAAAGGAGCCTTAGTCGTTAAAAAAGTTAACACTGATGGAGAAAAATTTTTGTGGCAGCCAGTTCAGTGGTTCTAGTATAATAGTGAAATCGGAATAGTCAAGTATAAATATAGTTTAGACGTCTCGCGCCCTTTCAAATCTGTAAATTTCCGAAGAAGAGGAAAACACTATACCAAGCACATTGCCCCAAATCACAGAATAGGTTTTGCCTATTAGTAAGGAAAAAAAGCAAGACCTACTTGCGCTTTTGCCGCTAATTGATTAAGTTTTTCATAACTTTTACCGACATTTGCCCACTTAAACAAATTTTATGTACCCCCTTTAAGGGGCTGTATCTTAACAAGGGATGCTCCAATGAAGTTTCTTTATATGAAAGATCCTATCTTTTTTTCGATGAGGAATCACCCCTTTAAATGTTTTACACTTATTTAGTTACACCCTGTATTAGGAGGTATTGAATCAGACAAATTTCGAGGCATTTGCATTTTATGTCGGTTAAGAGACTTTGCCAGTACATGCGCACTTGAAAGTTCTCTTTAATTGCATCAAAATATTAATTTGGTCGAAAGTGTCAGGATGTATTGCAGGCTCCTAGTCGATTTGTTTTAAAGGATTTAATCTAAAATGTATCTTACAACATTTAATAATTCACAGTAATGAAAAACCATTTAAATGTGACATTTGTTCTAAAGGATTTTAGACGGTCACATTTAATAAATCACACTAATCAAAAACCATTTAAATGTGACATTTGTTCCAAAGAATTCATTCTAAAATCTAACTTACAATGACATTTATTAATTCATAGTAATGTAGAGTAGTTTATTCATGTTATTAAAATACCAATTGTGATTTTTTAAAGAATGTGCCTTATTTTACCAAAGTATTAGTAGGAGAATGTTTATTTATTTTTTACAACTAATTATTATTTATAAGCATTTATACAGAATTTGTTATTGAGTTTCATGAATTTTGATGAAAGAATATATTTTTTCTTTAAAAATAGTGATTTTTAATCGATTTCAAAGGCGCTGCATGGTTATAAAACAGGTTCCCGTTCTTTCTTTATTAGACTACGGGGTAACATGCACAGAATACGCTTTGGCATGCATTTTGCGAGCATTTTTCCATGGGTGTGCAAGTTGCCCCAAATACGAGATAACTTGCACACCCCAAAAACCATTTTTTTTGGGACCCATGGCTGGAATTTTTGCCTACAATATTTACCCTCTGGAGAAATTTTGTTTGAAACGAAATACGACGACCCTTATGCAATATTACCACAAAGACAAAAAGGGATTATTCTTAATGAATATTATACCACAGCCTTTATTCAGCAAGCGGTTAGAGTTTTCAAAGAAAATATTGTGAAAAGACAGGACCAAATAAGAAGACAAGGGCAGAAACACAATCATCTTCTAACAGTAAAAATACCGTCCAAATAGCGTTCGAAACTAAAAAAGAGCAAAGAACACAACAGTAAAAAAAATTGCCATAAAAAAGACTGATGTAAATAAGACTATCAAAAAGAAAACAAAAATAATTAATAGGAAATAAATAGTTTATAATTTTATAAGGTTTAGTTTTTTTTTGTGTTAAAAGTACTTATATTATTGTTCAATGTTAAATAAAAAGAAATGTTATTTTCTATATTCATTGTTTAATTTGTCCTAACCCACAGTAATCATGATTAAGATACTAGGGTATTTAATAAAATATGTCGTGTCCAATAAAGTAATATAATTACAACAAGACGTAAACCAATTGTCGTCATTTAATCAAATAATTACCAAAAAACAACACAACACTTAGTTAAAAAACATGTTTATAAAAAAATTTAGGTAGTTAAAAATCTAACTTCTTAATACTTAAAAACATACCTTTTTTTCACTTCCTGTAAAATTTTAAATTTGTGGGATACGTCCATTTTGAATATTGGTATCGATATAATTTATGGCATCATATAACAAGTAACAAAAACGCCGAGTAAAACTGAAGATTTCAATTATTTTAATAAACCAAATATATATTGTATGTTATACACATACAAACATATTGGATGGCCATTTTTACTGGTCATGTCTAAACGAAATAGTGTACTTTATTAATTTATACAAAGCTATTTATGTTGAATTTTAAGTTGATAACTCAAGAGGGGTTTAATTTAATATATACTTAAAATATGACTTAAATTTCAAAATACTTTAAAAATAGGTACTTTTAACATATTTTCAGTACTTAGAATTACTTCAGTATATTGAATTTACTTGTTTTAAGTAAAATACTTCACCATGGGCCGTGTCACCATGGGATTCATCAGACTAGCGTTTAACCATCAACGACGTGGAATGAATGAGGGTGTGAATGGGAAAGTAGTAGGACCTTCAAATGGTGGTACAATAAGCCGCAGGCTGCATAGTGCTGCCAGACTACAGACGGATTAGAGTGTAGCACGGGAGGTCCGAAGGGTGTAAAAAAAAAAGTAGAATACTTAATATTTCAAGTACTTTCGTAAAATACTTATACTTAATATTGTAAGTAGATTTGGAAATTAAATTACTTAATATTGGTTACTTGCTATTTGCTAAATACATATCCACAGCTCTGCTCTACAGGAAAGTCATGTGTTGCACACAACAGATTTTAAATACATTTTACTATTATTTTAATATCTTCGACTTCTAATGTATCATACCTATTGTGCTGAAACTCTATTGGACACCCTAATCAATTAAGTGAGGTTAGCAAACAATATTAGCAAAAGGGAATATCAAAGATAATAAAAAATATATAGTTTTGAAAGTATTTAGTAACTCATATAAAAGTAGAAAATAAATTATGTTAGTATTAACAAAGTAACTAGGTTATTTGAATTTTTAAACATATTTATGCTTCAATAGTTGCCAGAGGTTCATAAAATCCAGTTTTATCAACTGAAGACATAATCGAAATATGTATTCTATTGAAGTCACAAGTACCAAAATCAAAATCTTTGTATTTTTTCATTATAGTCCTGGCATCGAATGGTATCCTTTTTGCGAATCGATGTTTCCTTCTTGAATTCGGATGCATTTTTGAATCTTCTCTATATTTTGTATTCATAAGAGTCATATGTACAGTTATATTTTCTTGATATTGCTTCAAAAGTCCTAAAAAAATATTTTGGTAATTAAAAAGTACATCTTTCAGAGGTGCGCTAGGGTGTTTCTACGATAAGAGCTCTTAAGGTTTGTGGCAAAGCAATAAAATCGTAAAAATTACCCAATTATTTCATTTTATTACTTAAGCAGCTACTTTGTGTGTGTCTGTAAGAAGGCGAGTCACTTTATTAGTTTTTTTCTAATTTTAAAAGAGACCAGGGAAAATACTTGAATCAGGGGAGGGACATGCTTTACAGGGTATGACACAAAATAAACAGGAGAGAGACTTGCGATGTGAAATTATTAAAAAAAAATGTTTCATTTATTTAAAAAAGTCATTTAATAAAGGTTTTTTTAAATTTTATTAGTCAGACTTAAGTCTCGTAGTCTTTTTTTTTAAATCTAATTGTATTCGCGTCTAAACAAAAAAAAAATTAATTCTTTACAGCGTCTATTTAAACAAAAATAAGGAACTATTCTTCTTAGCATAATAAACGCAAAACTGAACAATAAAAAACAAAATAATTATGTGTGAATGTTAATTCAAACAATGATTTGATTATGCTTGTTCAAAGACATTAACAATACTTTTGGTAAAAGCATAAAACATTCTTTGTCCTTTCATTTTAATATTCGGAGTTGGAAGTTCTTCTATAATTTGTCCCCTTATAATAAAAGAAACGTCGGTTTCATCAATTTTAAATAATTTTCCAGTGTTGTCGACAATTTTAAATAATTTTCCAGTGTTGTCGACAATTTTACAAAGCATCATGTTAAAGAACCTACTCGTAAAAATAGTGCATTAGATTATTTCTGTACAAACTTTGAGACAAATTGCGTAAGTTGTTACGTAACAAAAATTGATTTGTCTGATCATGATCCGGTATTAGGTCAAATAGGTTATAATATATCACAGAAATCTTCATCTAAATCTGGAAGAATATTCAGTAAATCTGATTACAATAAATTTTCTCAACTATGTATTAAAGAAAATTGGTTTAATATCTTGTCATCCTCAGACCGTTTTCAGCAGTTTCATACTACTCTATTAAAAAAATTTAATGCTTTTCCTATGGAAAACAGTAAAAAACAAACCCAAAAAGCCTTGGATAACTAAAGGGATTAATACTTCGGCAAAAAATATGCACTCCTTGTTCCTAATAAAAAACTATTCAGGTGACAGTGGTTCTGTCTTAAATTATTACTTGAAATATCGCGCAATTTACAGGAAAACGTTTAAAGCAGCTAAACTATTATACTTTAAAAAAAGAATAAACGAGGCAGGCAATAAACAAAGAGAGACATGGAAAATAATAAATGACTTAAGAGTCAAAAGGTCTAAACCCTTGGTCAGTCACCAATTTAAGCCCTACCGAAATCAACGATTTTTATTGTTCTGTTGGTCCAAGTCTATCCACCCAAATAACAACTCCTTCGACTGATGCTTTGTCTTATTTAAATATTGTTAATATTAATGATTCATTTTACTTATTTTATACCAACTGATGTAGAAATTAAGGATATCCTCTCTTCTATCACAAAAAAGAATTCGACAGGTTGGGATGAAATTTCAGTTAATCTTTCAGAAGATGCTTATAAATGTTTTAACAGAATCAATCAATCATTCATTTTGGACAGGTTCTTTCAGTGATTCTTTAAAAATAGCCAATTTTATACATGTGTACAAGGACGGTGATCATAATTGTCCTTCTAACTATCGACCCATTTCTTTATTGCCCACTTTGTCAAAAATTACTGAAAAATTGGTTGAGATGAGATGAGCTTTTCTTAAAAATCACATCTCAGATTGGGTTTCAATTGGGTAAAAATACCACCGATGCGGTTTACTGTTCTAGAAAAATTATACCTCAATTTAAATGATAACAAGGTAGCTGCTGAAGTGATCTGTGATTTATCCAAACCTTTTGACTGTGTAAATCACAGAATATTGCTGAGCAAGCTAGAAAAATATGGATTCCGAGGAATAGCTCTAAAGTGGTTTCAGTCTTATTTGGAGACTAGAGTACAAAGTTTCTTTCAATAAGCAAACATCAATGCTTTCTATGATTAACTGTGGGATTCCCCAAGGATCCGTTCTGGGACTGGTTTTATTCCTAATTTATGTTAATGATATTATTAATGTCAATATTAATGGATACTTCACTATATTTGCAGATGATACAACGATACTCTAGGAAAGTGAGAATATTGAAGAGTTGTCTAATACCTAATACTATTAACAAAGACATTATTAAGATTAAAGAATGGTGTAATTCAAATTATGTATCTCTTAATATATCAAAAACAAATATAGTCTCATTCAGTGGCGATATCGCTAAAATTTCAGTTGGACAGCAACAAATTTGCAAAAAAACCGAAAATAAATTCTTAGACTTATTCATTGACCAGAAATTAAAATTTGAAATCCATGTCAATAGTTTCTGTAAGAAGCTGTCCTCTGGATGTTTTGCAGTAAGAACTGTTGCATACAACATTACCTCCAGCAATACTTGAAGAATCTTTTGCCTTCCCTTACCTATACCTTCTTCCGGCTTGGTATATAGCTCTATTGTGTATAGCGGGAAGAAGATATTTAACCACCTGCCAATTGATATATGAAGTGCTGACTCATTAAAAATATTTAAAAAACAAGTTAAGAAACTTTTGCTCGAAAATTAAGTAGTCTGTAATTGTTTTGCTGATGTTGAGGGGCCTGGTTCACCTTCACATTCTGATTCATAAAAATCCTCAACACGAAGACGAGATTTAGGGTTACTGATAGCGTAAACAAGATTGCCAATTACGAAATGACTACATTTCTCTTGATCACAGAAACAACTTAATTTATTAATTTTTAGATGATTAGGATAAAACAAGCTTCCTTCAACTTGATGTACTTGTAGTGCACCAGAAAAAGTTTTAATATTCTCAACCGATGCAGAAGCATTTAATTTTGTAAAATTTCAGTCATTTATGGTTAAGACTTTAATGTTGGGACAACTTCTGAATTACATTTGATTAATCATTTAATGAAATTATGTCAGCCCCACTTTCAACAAGCCTGTCAGCGGTTCTTTTACATACTGCACTCACTCCATCGGAGCTCCTTTTCCATGGCCGGCCTCGTGGTAATTCCACGTAAAATTTATCAAGTTACTTATTTATCAACGAGCAATTGCCCAATTAAAATACAAGTTTAAACTAAAAGGGGAAATTTAAAACCTAACCTACACTTTGAGAATGTTGAAACAAAGAAATACACATTACCATAAAATTAACATAAACAAGAAAAAATTAAATATTAAAAAAAAACAAGATAATTGTAAATAAGTTAAATTATCTAGACATCAAACTATCACATGCATGATTTAAGCTGGGATTTAGACTTTTTTATCATCAAAGCAGTCAAATCCATCAGAATATTGATTAGCAAATCTACCCGATCTTGATAGAAAAGAATTATGTCCATATTAAAGGGCTGAATAAGCCTTGTTTGTCTAGAAGGAACATGAATATTGATTTTTCCCAGTAACTCTGGACTACAGCTATACGAGTGTAGTATATTGTAGAATGTGGTAAGATCCTTGTGCATGCGTCTGATCTGAAAAGTGGTAATATTAAGGGAAATCTCAATATTTGAGTAATTAATATCCTCGACTCCACGGTCGTCCTTAAATGAAATAAATCTTAAAAATGTATGCTGAACTCTTTCAATGGCTTGAATATGAACATTGTAGTGGGGGGACCAGACACATGAACAGTAATCTAAATGGGGCCTTACAAGTGAACAAAACAATATTTTAATGGAAGATACCTCTAAAAAAATCCTTAGCGCAACGTTTAATAAAGCCTAGCTTTTGAAGTGATTTTGAGACTGCCACATTGATATATGGGGTACGTAAGATAAGTTGGAATAGATAACTACACCCAAATCTTTAACTTGAGATACCGATTCCAAAGGGCAACTATTAATATTGTAGATTATTTGTTCTGTGGGACTTCTGTTACGACTGAAGACCATTTGATGGCACTTTTTAACATTAAGTTCCATTCCATTGATTTCACTCGTTGCTGAGACGATCTAAATCAGCTTGCAGTTTTATGTAATCAGATTCGTTCTTTATTTTCTTATATAATTTTAAGTCATCTGCAAACGTTAGGAATAGTGCAAAGACAAAACAGGATGCAATATCATTCACATATAAATTAAATAGAAGAGGGCCCAAGTGTAAACCTTGAGGTACACCTGATGATACTTTAATTCCTAATGATTGGAAGTCCTGAATACGCACTATCTGTATCCTTTCAGTAAGGTAAGAAGATAGCCATTCAAGCAGTTCCCCCTGAATTCCCAAACTCTGCATCTTATTAATTAAAACTTTATGGTTAACCCTATCGAAGGCTTTTTTAAAATCTGTATACACAGCATGTACTTGATAACCGTTCTCTAGGGATTCCAAGAGATAGTCAATAAATGTTGAAAGGTTAAGCTCTGCTGAACGATGAGAAATAAATCCAAACTGTTGATTAATATAATAAAACAGCTTTTTAAACTAGTCGATAAATAATCACAAACAAGGCTCTCAAATACTACAAGAATACAACTCAATACTAATTAGAGCAGCGATTTCATGAGTCTATCGTGTCGTTTTTTTTTTCTGGCGTAGAACCAGGTCAAACATGGTAGGTTTCTTTGAGCATGTCATTAGGCATATGAAATCGCATTTGACATTTTTTGTGCTCTCAAATTTTGTAAATCAAAAAAAAAGTTAATTAATTGTATTAAAAAAGAATATATATTTTTTTTGTTTCCATCGTGATATCTTTAAAACTAATAAAGATACTAAAATTGTTTTTATGTCAAATTAAAGCATACATTGTAGCGCTTTTAGCAATATAAGCGACTTGGACACAATTCCCACTTTTATTTATCTAAAAATTAAATAAAGTAAAAGTGTATATTTTATGTAATACAATTTTCACCAATCGGCAAACTTTTTTATTTTTGA